TATATATATATATATATATATATTTGCTTGACATGTTAATTTAGGATAGACCTGACTGTTTTCATGTATACATCTTATAGAAAGCACTCTCAAACGGCCTTTATTTATTGAGGAAATAATGGTTGTAAGGTTGATATACTCATCAAAATATGTATTGGCTCTACTAATTAATTCTGTGCGCCCTGTGACATCTCAAAGATTCCGCTTAAAATCATTTACCTGAATGCGTCCAGGGGCGGAGCCAGCTCTTCAAACTAGGGGGGTCCCGGAGTTGAAGGGGCGGGGGCTCACGGGGGTTTTGGGGCAGCGCCCCTGAAAATTTTTTGGAAACATTATCTGTTAAAATGAGGAAAGTTGATACTTTGTGATAGAGAAATGAAACAAATGAACATAAATTAATGTACGAAGATTTCACAAAAAAATAAAGAAACAAATAAAAGAAATTACTAATCTTTTGAAATACTTCGTACGAAGATTTCACAAAAAAATAAAGAAACAAATAAAAGAAATTACTAATATTTTGAAATACTTCTCCATCATTGAACCTGAGGATTGAGGAAACTCTTTCACTCATAATTGATAAATAATACAACTTCACAAATAACTGAATGGGCTGGATTAGGAGATTAAAAAAAAATATTTGAGGCCAAAAAATAAAAATAAAAAATTTCAAAAAATTGGGGGGGTCCTCCCCCCCCAGACCCCCCTCCCTCCGCCCCTGAATGCGTCATAGGCTTTTAATGGTGATAAGTATATTAATGGATTTATACTTAAAGATTACCTTTTTCTGGTCGTAACTGATATTCATGATGTGGAATATTGATGAACTCCATGCACATGCACATCTTGAATCTTTCTAAATAGATCGGTGCTGAGCTGATAATATTATTTTTGACATGATAATTTGTTTGCTATGTGCAGGATGACAAGTCTTCTATCTGCTTTCTGTTACATTCTCAAAAATTTATTGAGCTTCTCAGGGTAAATGTCTTTTTCTTGTGTAGCTTATGGAATCATGAACATACCGTAAGTGTCAGTTTTTTATTGCTGTTAGAAAAGTTAAATATGAGCAAGTTTGGGAAAGGTGGACAACATACAAGAGGATCTATGAAGTACGGTTTGCACATGTAATCAACTTTATGATGTTAAAAGCGCAAGTACTTGGTCTTCTGTCGTGAAGCTTTAACACTTCATGGTAAAATCATAACTTGTCATTCATGTTAAAGTGTGGAGTTCGCATTGCTTACATTAAGTTAGAACTGGACTAATTTTCCTGATTCAAATCTTGAGAGCTTAAAAACATTAGTTAATAGTTAGTGAAATATTTTCCTTTTAACTACTCAAGATGCATTTTCTATTAAATTGTTTGAAATTTATTTAATATATATAATGAAAATTGAATTCTAAACCACAAATGTTTGGAAATCTGAAGGAAAACTGAACACAATGGAGGAAGAGGTGTAATTTAATTAGTCCAGGTAGGTTGGCAGAGGTCAATACACAGTGGCAGTTCTCTAAGATATTTGAGATGTACATCTTTTCTTGCCTTATGCAAGTATTGTATTTGTTCCATGTCCACTACTGTCTCAAATCTTTTTTGTCAGAAATTTTGAATTGGGTCATATATTCACCGATTTTGTATGCGGAACACAACATACAGTTCCTATGTTTTTGGTCAATTATTTTTCTTGGCTGTTTTTCTCTCATAAAACCGGGCATTTTCTTCAGCCACTCTGATCCACTTCTTACTGCAGGTTGGGAAGCTGGAGGAAGCTGTGTGGTATGCAAGGACTGAGTTTGGAAAGTTCAAGAGGAGTTCAGAGTTTGGTGACCTGGTCAAGGTATAATATGGGAGATCTGTTGTTGACTATAATTCAGGCATCATACTAAATATTTTACAAAAGATTTGGCTCTGTTTTATGAACAATCGATCTAGAGAAAAGGCTTGAGCTAATTCTATCTTAGCTTGCTCTACACAACTGGGTCATTAGCATATTAAAACACACACTGGGTACAAGGCAGAATATGATTTTGCTAGATAATAGGTTCTTTTTACTCGCTTCTCCTGGTGATGTGGTCCTCTTACCAATATATATAGTTCGATTGTCCCAGTTGGATTTCAATAACCTTTCTAGTTTTTTGTATGCTGGTGTTTTTTTCAATTCTAACGTCTCTTACTTCTCTCCCTAGGATTGTTCTTCTTTGCTGGCATATGAAGAGCCAGACAAGTCCACTGTTGGATACCTTCTTAGAGAGTCTCAACGGGAGCTTGTGGCTGATGCAATTAATGCAATGATCTTGGCAACAAATCCTAATGTGAAAGATGCAAAGTGTTGCTTGCAATCACGTCTCGAGAGGTTACTAAGACAGCTTACTGCTTGCTTTTTGGAAAGAAGGTCCTTGAATGGAGGTGGTGAAGCTTTTGATTTGCGTAGAATTCTCAACAGCGGTAAGAAAGGTGCCCCTGTTTGGTAGGAATTAAAATCAGCTTTTTAGTATATTTTGATAAAAATTAATGAAATATGTGTTGAAAAATTATAGATCCTATAAAATATATGATTAAAATTAATTGTTAATTTTGATTAAAATTTTAATTTCTACCAAACAGGTATTAAGTTTGTCAAATTTTAATTTTAATTTTAATTATACATTTTGTAACATTTACAACTATTATTCACTCATATCTATTAATTTATAATTTTAACAACTTATAATCATAAATCCGACAATTAATTATTTTTGCTGCCCATTGTCCCTATCATAAATAATTGTGTGCATGAACGCCTTCAATTATTTTGTGCACTTGAAACAAACAAAGGTGAAACTGACAGGTAAATCATTTAGAAGACAAAATAATGTTAAAGAATAAGAATAATAGAATATTTTATTTCTCCAACCTCTCCTTTGTATTTTAGGTGTAAAAAAATCAATCTCGATAATGAATACATGAACATGACTTCACTATCGAGATATGTTATTTTTGTTTCGTTGTTCCTTGTTGAGATTTTGATATTCCACCGTATTAAATAACTAGCAAATAGAAAGACGATCACTCACTA